TTAAATTTTATTAATTTTTCAATTAAATCATTTCAAGTAAGTATTAATATTAAAAATAAAATTTATTTTTATATTTTTTTATATAAATTATTGATAAAAAAATATATAATAAATATATTTTTAACTTAAAAAACTAAATAAATAAATAAAATAAATAAAGCAATAATGGTTCGGTTCAAGTCAATTTCAAACCAGAACTAGTGGTCTTGGCTTTACAAAATTGAGGCCTTAATCCGCCACATGTATTAGTGGGCGGTTTAGTTTTGATTTCAATTTAGTCTAAAGCCTAACCACTCTATTTTATTTCTTTAATACAGGTGCATTATCCGGCCAACCATTGACCGAACCATCACCAGTTGAGTTCCATGATTGAGTTTGGTCCAATCCTAATTTTAATCTTGGTCCTAATCCCACCAACCCAAGTCATACGCCATCATTAACGGGTCTTGATTTCAAATTTAATCAATCAGGTCTTCTTGAATTGAGCCGACCAGCCCCGTGGCATTAGCCGCATTACCATCTACGTTGGTTGAACTCTCAAATGAGCTACTGGAATAAAAATCGAAATAGAAAACGATTTTATAATTTAGCGGTCATCTTTCTTTTATAAAATTTTTTTATGTGGAGTTTGACAAATATGAAGTTTGAATTTCATTTTCAATGTTAATATAAAATAAATTATTTTTAAAAATTTTTATTTAAAGATATTAATTATTAAATTTGAATTATTTACCTTGATAAAGGGGTAATTTATCTCTTTTTTATTTAACAAAATGTGTTCTTATCCTTTATTTTTGATATTAAATCCTTTATATTCTCAAACTATATTAGTCTCTATTAATTTAGAATCTCACTTCAGATCTTATAAAAATAAATTTTTTTAATACTCATCTTTTTTATTTATAAAATTCAAATTTAAAAATTTATTTAAAGTAAACCAAATTCTTTCCTTTAAAATAAATAGGTCTTTTGGTGTCTCTGACCCTTTAGTTGAGGGACGAATTTGGGGATTGGCCCATCAGGACAGGGATACCGTCGCAGGATTTGAGTCAACACAGTCCCTGCCTTATCAAATCTAAAGAGTCAGACTAAAAACCAACTTCGAAAGGAAACCGTTTATGTCGCCGATATGGCGGCCGCTTCGCCACCTTTCCCTTCTTCTTCCTTCAGAAATCCTACAATTTCCAATCTCACCTCCCTTAAACCCTCCTCCATTCTTGTTAGCTCAGGACGGAGTCGTTTCCGGTGCCAGATCAGTAGCTTCGACAACCAACCTCCACATTGGAGCCTTGATTTCCTATCAAGACCCGAACCCATCCACCTGATCCAAAACCCTTCTTCAATGTCAATGCCCGCCGCTTCCGGCTCTGATTCCGCCGCCAAGATCGTCAAAAAGGTCTGCCTTTTCTACTCCCCCGAGACCAAGGCTCTCGCTGACAGAGTCGCCTCAGAATCCGATTCCATTGAGCTTCGCAGCATCAACTGGAGGTAATCTCAACATTTCCGCCCCGATTCTCTGCTGTCTCAATTCCTTGATAGTGAAAAAGAAATTGATTATAGAATCACAAATTTTTGAATGCTGTTTTTCAATTGAAGCAAAAAAATTTCTGATTTAATTTAGTGCTATTGTAAACAATGCATGTTGTTGATTGAACTGAGATTGTTGAGTATTCTTGTTTTGGTTCAAATCAAGTCTACAAATTTTGGAATGTATCATTTCAGGACGTTTGAAGATGGATTCCCCAACTTATTCATACCTAATGCTCATGGAATCCGTGGACAGCATGTAGCTTTTCTGGCCTCATTTAGTTCGCCAGGAAAGATTTTTGAGCAGCTCTCGGTCATCTATGCATTGCCGAAATTGTTTATCTCCTCCTTCACATTGGTGCTTCCATTTTTCCCTACTGGAACTTCTGAGCGTATGGAGGATGAAGGAGATGTCGCCACCGCTTTTACTCTCGCTAGGATTTTGTCTAACATACCAACTTCGAGAGGAGGACCTACCAGCTTAGTGACTTTTGATATCCATGCTCTGCAGGTTTATTTTGATAGAAGTATTTATTTTTTGTTTGTTGATTAGCTGGATGGTCTTTGAGCTGCGTTTGTCCTTTTTGATATTAGTTACTTGAAATCTTGCTTTGTTTTGTTGCATCATAGGAGAGATTCTATTTTGGTGACAACATATTACCATGCTTTGAGAGTGGAATTCCTTTGCTTAAAAATAGGCTTCAACAGCTACCTGATTCGGACAATGTAAGATTGTCCCACTTTCATTTCTTTTTGGATTTAATTGGGACCTGGATATTATATGTGTTGAGAATTACTCTGAACCTTTTCTTTTCCAAGTGATGACAATTTTCTCTGATTTTTACTTCTCAGATATCCATTGCTTTTCCTGATGATGGTGCATGGAAACGATTTCATAAGCAGCTGCAACATTTTCCAACGGTATCATATATTTCAGCATTTTAGAAAGTCTTTTGGCCAATCATAATTTTTTATCATGCATCTAGTCTTTGATTTTGTCAGCATTCTACAAGTTCATTATCTTCTTCTTTCTTATACCTACTGCATTGCTTTGTGAGTTCTTCACACTATTTATTCTTTTGGAAAAATTATGAAAAACTGATCCAAGTAGTTTGATTTCTTTCTCATCTCTTCTAAAGAAGTTGAAAGTAGATCAAATTAGATTTTGATTTGACTACTTTGTATTGTACTGCAGTTGGTTGTGTACAGTATATGGGGAGAAATATTGGAGTAGAAACATGTATTATAAACAACAATGAAGTTCTTATTTGTTCAATAAACCATAATGAATCGAAATGGAAGTGAAGCCAAATGAGGAGTTGCATCTAACCATATCTGTCACATTGCCCATACATTTCACCTTTTTACTGCACAATAGCCTCTTTTTTTTTATTAACTGCACAATAGTTTGTGTTATTGTGTATATGGATGCTGGCACAATGTCTTATATTGGTGTGTAGATCATTTGTAATAAAGTTCGGATTGGAGACCAACGGATTGTGCGTATCAAGGAGGGGGAACCTGCAGGACGGCATGTTGTGATTGTTGATGACTTGGTTCAATCAGGTGGCACTTTGATTGAATGTCAGGTACGGAATATAGACATTGTTTCCTCTTCTAAGTTTTAAACGCAGAGTCTGCATTGATTTCAGTAAAGCATATAATGGAATCTCTAAATAGGTCTATGGAAATTTTAAAATTAGGAAGTTTCAATGTTCCATTTAATTTGTTTCTTTTCCTCTTACCAATCTACTATCTCTCAGAAAGTGTTAGCCGCCAATGGAGCAGCAAAAGTTAGTGCCTATGTGACACATGGAATTTTTCCTAACAGATCATGGCAACGCTTTGAGCATGATAATGGAGGTACTTCATGTGCTAACTTAATTGCACCTTGTTTCTTTGAGTCCTGCTTTCTTCAATCTAATGAAAGCTAAGAAAAAATCTTTGCACTGTAGTCCTGACTTTTCTCAACTCTGGAAAACTCATTCAATTAAGTATCATACTTGCATTCTATTTAGGCTTCCAAATCAGTAGAAGGGTAGGCTAGGCTCTCAGATGGCTTTATATAGTCCAATACAGGTTTCTACTGACTTCTTGTATCTTCAGCTTCCTCGAATAGCTTCATATAGTTCAATACGGGTTTCCCAAGGCTTGTTATATCTCTAGTAATTTGCTTAATATGGCTAGTCTAGCTGTCTAGGGGCAAATACTTTGTAGTGGGAACTGGGAGGAAATAGATTGCCTAAGTTTAGTTCATGAATAATGCTTCTGTCTCATACTATGAAATATAAAAGCTGATGTCTCTCACTTTATACAGGACATCCTGCCAATGGGCTGACCAACTTCTGGATTACCGATTCATGCCCTTTGACAGTGAAAGATGTTATAAACAAAGCTCCATTTGAAGTTCTTAGCCTTGCCAGCTCCATAGCAGCCGCTCTTCAGATATAATAGTACTTTAGAAGTCACTAACAGATTATAATAACCATTCTGCCCCATATCCAATAAATATTTTTGGTCTCCCTATAGAGAAGTTATGAGATCATGATCTTCAAGGCGGCTTCACTCATGTTAAGCAACTTTTGCTTTTAAAGAACCAAACGTTATATTCTAGGGTGTTTCGCAAAGTGTTTGCTGGAACTACAGCATCAAAGTGAATGTGCAGAAATATAAAAGTCATTGTGTATACATGTTTTTGCACTATTTGCTTCACTTCTGGAAGTA